TCAAATACCAAAAAATTGTGTTATCCCTTTATAAAATCATGCGGTACGCATGCGGATCTATTACTAATCTACTCGTAGAGTAGGTCACAAAATATTGATCTCGATCACAAAGCTGGATCAGTAATCTACTAGTTTCCGAACACGGATAGGGTTAGTAACCATAAGTAAACGAACAATAGGATACATAATCTTTCTGATCCGAGTAAGTTTCCGAAAACGCCTATAGTCCTATGGAAAGTGCCCTATATCACACGCGTATGAATAAGAATTTACTTTCCACCCGAGTGAGAATATGTTACTTTCCGCAGTAGTTGTCACAAAATGTCAAACACCTAATTTCTATTTTGATCTATGTAATGTCCATATTAATACTAAAATAGATATGATTGTTAAATTATTGAAATTGTTGTAAATTAGATCCTAGATATTTATCTTCAACAATTATTATTAAAATAATTTTAAAATAATGTTTGCTCTTTATTCTGGTTAAATACATAACCGATTAATCATTCAATTGACACAAGGACTATTAGCTCAGGTGGTTAGGACGTCGAACTTATCAACTTTGCCATTTTTCGACCGCGTTCAAATCCTTGTTTATTTTTTTATTTTTTTGTTTAGAAAATATGAAAATTGAATAAGTACGATTATTGTTGATTATTTATTTAAATACTTTTTAATTATTATAGTAATAATAACCTTGGTTTTACATTTTTTTGATGACATTATTTTGTGTTCGTAGGACAAATATTGTACATCACTTGTGTGAAAAGTGATTTTCCACACTCGTAATGTAATATACTATTTCACTTATTTTTATATAAAATTAAATTCTCTACAAAAAAGGTCTGATTGAAAATTTTCGTCAGACGAGCCGTTTCCGAGTAATTGAGCTTAATAGATCGATGTGTTTTTCGATTTGTCCTTTTTACTTTGAAATTTTTTAACTAATGAATCAATGAATATTTAAAAAAGCTCACGTCGGATTCTTAAAGGAAATTTAATGTTCTACAAAAATGGTCTCTTAAAATTTTTGCCTAAATTTAATTCTTCAAAAGGTATTCACGATTAAAATCGAAGAAAAAAAATGAAATTTTTTGTAGAAAAATTAATTTTATATAAAAATAAGTGAAAAGGAATTTTTTTCACTTTAATGTTTTGACAGTTCTAACGTAAAACATCAAATTATGAATAAAAATCAAAAATAGCAATGATAGACCTCTTAAAATTAATATTATCAAATGTTCACGAATTTTTTTTTGTCATCCTGAAACATTCTCGATATATTTTCCAAAAAAAAAAAACAATTTTTTTGGCCCAGTCTAGTATACAGTGTAGTGTGAAAAAGTCCAATATCTCCGCCATTATTAGAGATAAAAAAAATATTTTCACAGAACGGTAGACAGCGTTAAACTACATATTTTAAAATTATTTTTGAAATAATAACTTCCCTCTGGAACCAACTTATGTTCTTTTTAATGGATCAACCTGTATTTTATTTTATATTTGAATTGCCCTCGCTTTTCCCATTTTAAAAATATAAATTATTATTGGTTTATACAGGGTATTTTACAAGATATAATCAGTTGTGTATGAAAATCGTATTGAATTCAATGACCTATATCATGCAAAAGAAACCATTGATAACCAATTTTTTTTCTACCACAATTTTTCAATCATGGACAAATTTTATCCGGAGACAGTACTTTTTTCAATTCGCATCAAATCTGTACAGGGTGAGTCAAAACACAAATACATAATTTTCTCAATTTTTTTTTAATGGTTCACCCTGCATTTTATATCATCGTTCAAAAAGTATCCTAAAATTATACTTTAATTTGACTTAAGCATTCCCTATACCAAAAGTTAATAGTTTTTAGAGATTTTTAAATTTTAGTGGTAAAAACGATAATTCAGAAAATAATTGATTGGAAATACATTTTATTTATCATTAGTAATTAATAGAATTTAACCTGAAGTAATTATTTATTATCGACCAAGTAAGTTTCTGACAATATGTAATGTCACTTATACATTTATTAGAAAAAGAAATAAACATTGCAACCACAAACCACCTGAAACCTACTGAATTTTTTGTTTATTAATTTTTTTTAAGTTGGCTTTGAAAACCCCCAATACTGACAGTTTGTTATTATTAATGTCATTAGGGTTGCATTATTTGTTTTCTACAAAGTCTCGCCAGTTTTTTAATATAAATTATAGCCGTGAAGAATTAGTTGATATGGTATGGATTTTGGGAGAATGCAATAAAAACTCTTTTGTTAGCAACTAGAGTTTATAAAGAGCGATTTCCAGAGCGTAGAACGCCAAATAAAACATCGTTCGAAAAACTGATGGATCGATTAAACCGAACAGGGTCCGTTTCATATGAGAAAATTGATAGAACAAAAACTGTTACTAAAGAGGAAAATTAACTAAATGTTTTGTTAGCAGTTACCGAAAATCCACTTACAAGAATAAGAAATATTTCAAGAGAACAGGAAATAAGTTATACGTCAGTACAAAGAATACTTTCCAAAAATAAAATGCATCCGTATCATATGCAACTACATCAAGAACTCACTATTATGGATTTTGAACACAGGGTAACTTTTTGTGAGTGGTCACAACAAAAAATTACTGAACGAAGAGATTTTTTGAGTACGTGCTTTTTGGAGATGAGGCAACTTTTCATCGAAATGGCTGTGTCAATATCACAACTTTCATTATTCCACTTCTAATCCATACCATATAATTACTCACAGTCAGGAAAGGTGGTCTTTAAATGTTTGGGGTGGCATTATCGGTGAGTACGTGATAGGACCTCATTTTTTTTTAACGAACCTGTAAATGTGGAATTGTACTTAGACTTTCTAGTGAATTCTTTACCAATATTGCTTAAAGATCTTCCTCTTGAAGTACGCCGAAAAATGTGGTATTTACATGATGGTGCTTCTGCTCACAATAACGCTCTTGTAAATGGCGAACTTGCAGATCTATTTCCAGGAAGATGGATAAGAAGAGGCGGGCCAATCCGTTGGCCAGCCGGTCACCAGATTTCACTAAAACTGACTTTTTTCTGGTGCTACGTTAAAGCTCTAGTGTATAAAATACCTCCAACTACAGCGATGATATGAAAATACGAGTAAGAGAGGCATTTCAAAGTGTTACTGTGGAAATGCTTAGAAATGTGAGTCGGAACTTTGAAAATCGTCTTCAGACCTGTATAAATATTATGGGAGGCCACTTTGAACAACTGTTCTAATTAAATATAATTTGCAAAAATTACATTTAAATAATAAAGTATGAATTTGTGCTAGCTATTGATATTTTTTCTTTCTTAATGTAAAAATCGATAATAAATTACAGCTGGTTAAATTGTAATAATTACTAATTATCAAACAGAATGTATCTTCTATCAATTAGTTTTTATCACTAAAATTTAAAAATCTCTAAAAACTATTAACTTTTGGTATAGGGAATGCTTAAGTCAAATTAAAGTATAATTAGGATACTTTTGAACGATGATATAAAATACAGTGTGAACCATTTAAAAAATTGAGAAAATTATGTATTTGTGTTTTGACTCACCCTGTACAGATTTGATGCGAATTGAAAAAAGTAGTGTCTCCGGATAAAATTTGACCATGATTGAAAAATTGTGGTAGAAAAAAAATTGGTTATCAATGGTTTCTTTTGCATGATATAGGTCATTGAATTCAATACGATTTTCATACAAAACTGATTATATCCTGCAAAATACCCTGTATAAACCAATAATAATTTATATTTTTAGAATGGGAAAAGCGAGGGCAATTCAAATATAAAATAAAATACAGGGTGATTCATTAAAAAGAACACATGAGTTGGTTCCAGAGGGAAGTTATTAAACACCCTGTATATTCAAAAATAAATTTAAAATATGTAGTTTAACGCTGTCTACCGTTCTGTGAAAAATATTTTTTTTATCTCTAATAATAGCGGAGATATTGGACTTTTTCACACTAATGGATCACCCTGTATATGTTTTATTTTAAAAATAAAATTGGTCAATGGAATGCAATTAGGATGGTCGTGGGATCCAACTCGAATGGTAAAAACTCTATCTGCTTTGCATGGGATACAATTCGGGAATTTAAAAAAATATATATATTTTTTATATATTAATTTCCTTACCCCAGATGGATTGAAAAAGAGGAAAAACTTTTTTATTTTCAATTTTTAGAGAAAATGTTATTATTCATAAAAGTTTTGGTTTTTGTTTCAAAACTGATAATAATAATTCAAAAAGAAGTTGAATATCTCTTTGTTTCAGTGGAATAATGACAAAAAAAAAACATTTTTTACTTTATCTTTAAAAAAAAAAGAATTTGCTAAAGCGAGATATTCTACTTCTGTTTGGATTATTATTAATTTTGAAACAAGCAGAAACTCCTCTTTTTCAGTCCATCCGGGGACACTCACTATGTGCAATATGATTAACTTTTTATTTTGTTATCCATGCAAATAAAGAATGCCAATAAAAATAAATAATATACGTATCAATCCTTTATCGTGATTAATAAATACAACGCAATTATACGATTCAATTTGTTATTTGGAAACGAAAAAATAAATCTTAAAAATAGGTATCATCTGAAATTTTAAAAAACAAAAAATACATATACGGATATTTGAGGTAAAATTCAAAAATGTAATAAATATATTTTGTAGGTTTTCTTGTTATTTAATATCTAACGTTTAATACATTATCGGAAAAAATGTAAACAGAAATAGCACTAACAAATAGTGATAATGAAAGAAATATTTTTATTTTAAAGAACACTGGTTTTTGTGATTTATCGACTCTCATCCTATAAATTTACTAGCAAGACAAAAAAGTATAAAAATAAATAAAAAAACAATTTAAGAACATAAATAAAAATCAATTAAAACTCTTATCATCAAAAAGCTACAAATGACCTTGAAGCTACGTTCCAACCACAAATCTACTCACTCACCCCTTTATATTCAAATTGACAGGCAATGGCTTTGGAGCAGAAGCGTCCAAATGGATCTAACAAGCGTGGAAACTAAACTGAGGACCTAGCACGTTGCGTTGTGCAGTTTAAATGCAAGTCGGCATCGCAAAGAGGCCAAAACAATTTAGGCCAATGTCAGTGTCAACTGAATTTCCCTTTCTCTCTCCCGTTCTGTTCCTGGTTACGGGATACAGGAAGCAGGCGCGTTGAGGAAAATCCATAATTTTGGGTGAAACGGAAACGAATGGTATACGAGTATATCGTATAGGTAAGGTCCGGGAGCGGAAGATGCACACCTGGATATTGCACAGTAGTAAGCGAGGTTGTCTTAATCTTGTGCCGTGATGCTTTTTTAAATTTACGAGAGCGAACCAATCAAAGTCGTAATAATATATACAATTATATCCATTTTTTAAATTTAGATCACAATATACAGAATGCCCAACTAAAAATATATAATAAGATTTCGAGTAAATCCAAATGATCTTCAAGATAGCCAAGACCACCATAAAGCAGCTTCTAGCAAAAAGAACATTCAAGACAAAATTTTAAAACTATATTGCCATATGTAAAAGGGTTTTCCGAACAAGTATCTAAAATGTTTTCTAAATATAACATAAAAATTGCTCATAAACGTAACAATACAACTAAAACGTTATTTTCGAATTTTAAGCCCAAAATTAGTCAAATAAATCGACCAAACGTTGTCTATAAAATTGACTGCAAAGACTGTAATTCCACTTACATTGGACAAACAAAACAATATCTACATAAAAGAATAAAAAACCATAAAAATAATGAAAATTCCACTGCCCTAACTAAACATGCGTTAGAAAATTTACACTCTTTCGATTTTGAAAATGTAAGAATTCTCAAAAATGAACCTAATCTCAACAAAAGAACAATCCTTGAGATGATACATATTAAAAAAAAAAACAACTGTGTAAATAATAAAACAGACAAAAGATTTTAATATTATTAAATAATTGTAAGCTTCTAATCCTTAAATGTAATGCCACTGGTAATTTTTAACTTTATAAAAACTCATCTTTTTGTTTCCCTACTTTGTCGTTATCGTGTTAAACCAAATCAATATTATTTCGAATACACCTTCACACGATGAAAGGAAAAGATGGGGTTTTGCTATTTTAAAATTTTTTTAAACTATTGTAATCGACCCCTTGTGTTTTTTTTTAATTTTTCTTTTGACTGCACCCGAAGATAAAAAATTAATTTCCGAAACATATGTAGTGCTAATCGTTTGAAAATAAAAATCTGATGTGTCCAACACATGACTTTCCTATCTAGTTATTATAGGCTTTATAGGCGGTTATTTTGTACAACCTATTATACCTCCTCTATAAATATTTAGAGAATAAACTAAATATATACATTTTCCACATACATTTAACTCGAAACATTTTTTTACAGATATTCATTGAAAACGAAAGTACTGAAAAATTTAAATTTAGTACTTTTCTCCAATTTTTCCATTACGGTTCATTTTCGAAAAATCATGTAAAAACAAAAATTATAGAGATCAATATCGCAAACAACTTTTAGTTTAACAATTTTCTTAAAAATCAGAATTTTGCACATTTTGTCAAATTTCTCGAATACGGACCATTTCAGGAAATTTTGACATAAAACAAAAATTATAGATAATAATATTATAAGTAACTTTTATTTGAACGATTTTCTTCTCCAAACATAAATAACATATATTCCATAAAATATAAAAACGGCCTCCCATAAAGTACCCCCCCAGATGTTCCGACTTTGTCCAAAATCTAATCATTTTACGTCAGGCCGAAATAAACCTTAAGTTTAAAATTTAATGTTTTTTTCTTTATCCGTTTTTGAGTTTTCTTCAAAATTCGAAATTTACACATTTTCTCAAATATCTCAAATATTTTAGAGAAATTATGTATAGAATAAAAATTATAGAGAATTATATTACAAACAACTTTTATTTGAACAATTTTTATAAAAAATTGTTTTTTTTACATTTTGTCAAATTTCTCGAATACGGACCATTTTAGGAAAATTTTGCATAAAACAAAAATTATAGATAATTATATTAGAAGTAACTTTTGTTTGAAGAATTTTCTTCTCCAAACGTAAATAACAGATATATTCCATAAAATAAAAAAATGACCACCTCTAAAGTACCCCCCCAGATGTTCAGACTCTGCCCAAAATCTAATCAGCTCATTGGACGCTGAAACAAAGCTATACAGACACACACAGACATCATCGCGAAAATAGTCAAAACCACATACTTTGATTTTCTTTTACTATACGGAGAATGGTCGCACTGCGCAGCTTTCTGAGTGCCTTTTAAAAGGAGATGGAAAACTCCGCCATTTTGAACCCTTATTACGTGTTGCCTACATCTTGGCGCAATATTTTTAATAGGTGCGTTTTAATCATCCGCTTCTGCTTCGGAATTGTCAGTTTTCTTGTTTTAATCTGACAGGTTAAAACGACTAAACCGACAATTCCGGAAGCAGAAGCGGATGATTAAAACGCACCTGATATTTTGCTTGCTACTGTCAGTGTCAGTGAATATTATTTTTGAAGTCACAGTTTATTGCTAAAGAATTAGTTAGCTCACTCGGACCAGTTGAAAGTTCCAAAATAACATCCACTCCAGGGATACAAATTCAGGATACGCAGAAGACTGCTGTTTTATTATAGGCGGTTGTCATATATTGTATTATCCGAGTTGCACTGTGTATAAACTGAAACATTGAGATCCAAAGGGCCGACGCAGAGTGAGCGATCTGATTCTTTAACTGTAAACTGTGTCACAAGGTTCAAAATGGCCGCACCTTATGTTGGGCGTGTCGGACCTCTCTCTTGCCTCGTATAGTAATCAAAGTATGTGGTCAAAACGAATTCAGGGGACCTCAAAACGTAAAAATCCGTCGAAAACTCGAGGTCGAAAAAAATCATGATTCCTATACTTTCCTTATATCTGTATACAGACAGGAAAGTTAAAAGATTGACCGATTAAACCTAGGAAAATTTTTATTTATATATTAAAACCATTTAGTGTTAGTTTTATATTCTTAAAGAGTTCTTCAAGGCGATTTCAAATTTAAATCTTATTAACTGACGTTTGGCACTTAAAATATATTATAATTGATCCTAAAAGAGTTTTATTTTGTTTACTATATTCTAGAGAAGAAAGGAGTGCAGCAATTTAATTTGCAGAACGTAGTACAGGTTCAAGAGGTAGACATTTTATTTATACCTCATCCTTCAATGCTTATTTGTAGTTAAAATGAAAATTTTAAAACATCTGATCGGCCTAATAAAAGTTTTCATGGTTTTTACTGTAATAAACCATTTCTTTTAACATACATAAAATATGTATTTTAATTGATTCTGAATTTTGTATTAGAATATATTATAATTTTACAGTTATATAAGAATGGCGAGTGCATTAGAAAATATTGCAAACACACGTACGCGTAAACGACATAGTGGACATAAAGCATTATTTTTAGAACAAAAAAAATATCGTACTTAATGTATTTAATAATCTTTGTTTCACTTTCTGTGGACGAAATAGCCACTAAATGTGAGATGTATATTGGAGCACCTTGGCGGACAGTGTATAAACATTATTAAAGAAGATACAGTTATTGGAGAAGTCTCACATGCGAAAAATCCCCCAAGAAGAAACAAGACCTTTATTGAAACTTGGATAAAGAATGTAATAAAGCAAATGGTAAATCGGTGGGCGGGATTAAGTGGACATAAGTAAATCATCAATATGGCGGCCGTATCAGGTCCAGACTAACTGTTTTTTCAATCTGGATAGAATGCTCAAGTATATACCAAAATGATTTTTTCAGATCTGTAGTTTAGGCTAATTTTTTTTTCGTAAAATAATTAAAAAAAAAAAACATCTTTGTGGATCTAATTTAATCGTTAAACATAATTTAATCTGAGTACAGTTGAAAGCAACTACTTGCTGATTATATTATAGGGCTATTGTTTGTTGATCTATCAAGTAAACCTACATGTAACTTTACTCAAAGGTGAAAAGATCGACCCTAAACTAAATGCACTCAGGATACCTACCATTGAAAAATCCTGCGCATTTGATATAATCTCCGTTGCAAAAGTGTCCATGTCTAAAAGGTATAGTCCTTCCAATATCAATTGCAGAACACAGTTATGTGGAGAATCATCAATATTTAATATATATGCACGGTATTCATGCCAAATTTAGAAACGAAAAATAATGTTTACTCCCCTTATACAATGCGGTAAATATTAAAGGAACGGTCAGTCAACGTGTACTTGATATATATGTGTCAGAATCCATCATCTCCGTTGTTAACCAATGAAAACATCGAATCGTAAACTTAAATGCACTGTATTGGCCGAAGGTTTACGAAGGGGAGGAGTGTTCGAAAATATTTCTGGAAGACAGTCTGCGATATCAGTGGAGTACTGTCGTGCGGTGTGTTTTGTATGTGTGGTTGATTTAATTTAAATTTATTTTAATAAATTTAAATATGACGTTCTTTAGACCGTGAGAGAATGAAGAAAATGAAATTGCACAATGTAGTGAGATTAAAGACAGGTATGAGTTTAACAATAAGGATTTAGATATACAAACACAACAAGTTATTTTAAATATATTCGAATGTTTAAAAAAGGAAATTATTCAGCAGTCTGATAATGCGATCATAATAAGAATTGCTGAATTAACTAAAGTAAATAAATTTTCCTTTTATCGGGAAGTCACAAAAGGGGTTGCTGTGGATCATTCACAAAACCGAAAAACATGTAAAGAAAAACTGAAATCAGTTGACAGAGCTACCCAAGATTTTATACGAAGGACAATGTAAAGTTTATATAAGGAGAACAGGGTTTCAACATTGGAAGTAATACAGCAAAAGGTAGCAGATTTTCCAGGATACACTTATACCAGTTTGGAAACATTGCGTCAAGTTTTGTCAGCATGTGGTTTTAAACACAAAAAAATGAATAAACGGATGGCAATCACCGAATCGTCAAGGATAGTTCAATGGCGACAAGATTATTTGCGTTAGATAAAAGAGTACAGAAGTTCTAATAGACACATAATTTATCTAGATGAAACATGGTTTGACAGTCACGATGTAGTAAATTTCGGTTGGATTGACAGTAGTAAAAATTGCTGTTTGAATGGGCCATGTTCTAAAGGGAAACGTATTATAATAGTACACGCTGGAAGCAAAGACGGTTTCGTGCCTAATGCTTTATTATTATCTGTTAAACAAACTAAAAACTGTGCAGCTGATTATCATGAAGATATGACAGCAGAATTATTTGAAAAATGGTTTAATGAACAGCTCTTATCTAACATTCCACCAGTCAGTAATCGTTATGGACAACGCATCCTACCACTCACGGCAACTCCTTAAAATACCAAATAGTATCAGTAACAAAGCTCAAATTTTAGCGTTTATGTCTGAAAAAAATATTCCTATTCCTGCCAGTGATCGTAAAAAAAGGCCCAACAAACAAAGAATTGCTTACTGTTATTAAAGGCATGAAGTTGGAAAAAATTTATTATATTGACAAACTGTGCAAAGAACAGGGTCATACTTTTCTCTCAGACTACCTCCTTACTATTGCATATTTAACCCTATAGAGTTAATATGGGCAAACGTAAAATCAGAATTACGAAAATGTAATCAGTCTCCAGAACTGAGTAAAGAGGTTGTAGAACTCGTAAAGAAAGTTCTAGCAGCAGACCGCCAAGAGCTTTGGAAAAAAATTGCGTCGAACATGTTATTAAAGAAGAAGATGAGTATGTAGTATTACCCTCTTTACAACCCATCATAATTCAACCAAATGATGACTCTAGTTCAAAGGATTCAGACTGCCATGATTATTTATAAAGATACTTTAGAATTGAATTGTTTTTTTTCTTTTGTTTTATTTGCAAAGAATT